CCGCGAGTGACCTTTACAGGGGACGACAAACACTTCATTTGTGGGAATTCAACTCAACTTTAGTTGTGGTGCGACCGAATAGTGGTGATCCAAAAAGGGTTGGCCTGATACTTGGGTTGACAATTCTGCCGAGCGTTGTGGTAGCTTTTGGTGCAGCTACAGCGTTCAGAATTATACGGGGGAGAAAGCCAAAGAGCACGGAGAAGTTAGCAAAGAAGGCCACGCTGACGTCCATTAATGATGACTTTGAGAGACACGCCGGACCGAGGAGGTTTTCTTACCAAGAACTTGTTTCAGCAACGAACAACTACTCAAATGACAGAAAGCTCGGTGAAGGAGGATTTGGGGCTGTTTACCGGGGATATTTACGCGACCTAGACATGGCGATTGCGGTGAAGAGAATATCGAGAGGCTCCAAGCAAGGGAAAAGAGAGTTTGTCACCGAGGTGAAGGTCATTAGCAGTTTGAGGCACCGAAACCTCGTGCAGCTCATAGGCTGGTGCCACGATGGACACGAGTTCTTGCTCGTCTATGATTATATGCCAAACGGAAGCCTCGAGTCGCATCTCTTTATTTCATTGCTATGCATGTGTTTGTTAGATGAATGTTAGGCCTGGTGCATGTTCGGCGGGTAGCCCATTATCGTCATTTAGAACCCGACTTTAGGGGTTAATTGATATGAGTTGCCGTTTTGTGAATGCAAATGGTAGCCCATTATCGTTAACCATTAATCAAATAATATTAGATGATTAGGTGGGTGGTGAATCGAAATGCATGAAAAACAAAAGCCGATCCCGAGGCCCGTGCTTGATTAGTGAATTGTTTGCACTATTGCTTTTCTTTGGTTATTCTTTTGGATATTGTTTGTCATGAATGTATGTCATGAATATAAACGCCGACACCTGAGAGACGGTCCATGGGAGGATAATCCAAAGTTGTAAAAGACCAAGACGATTGATCGATGTCCAATCCGGTCTCAATTTGTATTCATTTGATGATGGCGATAGACCGATGTCCGATCCGGTTTCAATTCGTATTCAATTCATTCATCCCCGATCATGTCTCGGGTTTTCAATTTGTGTTGTAATAAACACCCGACGAGTTGCGAGTTTTTACTTTCTCGCACTTAGAATTAGCTCGTCTTTTCAATACTTTGAGTGTTTACTTTACGCAATGCCTTTCAATACAATCGTTTCTTTCTTTCTTTTCTAGACTAAGATAGGATTAGTTTAGAATCTTAAATGAAAACACAAAAAACAATATGCATGATCACATTGTGGACTAAAACTTTGACATGAAAATGGTAAAGAACAAATGCATGACAACTTAGATAACAACCATGTTAAGTTTAGCGGTACCGAAAGGGCGTTAATAGAAATATTAACGTAAGCTAGTCCCCGAACCTTTGATCTCTGGTTTTCGTAGAAACCAATATGAAATTCCCACGTATTGGTTAGGTATTCTAGCCGACCTCCGACCTAGGCTAGTGGCGACTCCTAAATAAGATAAAATTGATCCGCTGTCACGCGAGGTATGAATTAGGGAAGATTCACGTTCATGAATAATGGACTGTACGGATGAACCATCTTTTATGATGTACCGTATGGACCGTTTCATGAACACTTACCTCTAAATGAGCCCCATCGAGTTCGGCCCTTGAGGGGTAGGTCGCGACAGCCGACAAGGCATGACCTCACCAGAGGCCTTCAACCTCACGACCTCTAGTGAGGGCTCGAGCCTCGCCAGCGGCTAGGCGAGGCTCGAGCTAGGCGAGGCTCGAGCTGGGCGAGGGCGAACCTTGCCAGCCCAGCGCGAGGCCGCCCTCGCGGCCATCCGGCAAGGGCAAGCCTCACCTACGCCGGCCTCTGGCCTCTAGCCGACGACCGACTAGAGGAAGGAGGGAGGTGAGGAAAAAAAAATCAAAAATATATTATTAAAAGTTGTCTACGTCAGCAGTGTCCGGTCAAAATTAGTCGGAAGGACTGAATTGGTATAAAGACAAAAGGTTTAGGACTCAATTGGCATCAAAAAAAGATTTAGGACTCAATGGTATCAATGTAAAAGGTTTATGACTTTTCTGACACTTTTTTTGAGCGTGTTTTATCTTATATAATCTTGAACTTGTTATTTAATGATATACTGATCCTTCCTATGCACACCACATATATTGTGATTCATGCATCAACCAAGTTGTGGGATGAAATCGCAAGATATTTCTAAATTGACCAACAAAAAAAAAATGCACGTATTTCTAGTTTTTCTGTAGCTGGATCCTTCGGAACCACAAAACGAAAATTTTGTAAGGAGACTCGAGTTATGTTCAACTCTATGTATTCCTCCATCCGTAGAGTACAATGAAGGTACAAAATGGCCATTAAGAGTACCCTCACGGATGCCCCCCGTCTCCACTAAGATGTCATTTGTAAAGAGCAACCCATTACCACTACAACAATGCAAATTCGCTATGTCAATCCAACGAGCTTTGAAAGATCATAAGGTCCAAGCTAATAAGCTATTAAGATAAAGTACACAGCCAGATATCGTTAAAAATATTTATGTACTTATGCTAATAAGTTATTTGAAATGGCAAAAAAAACATAAAAACTTCAAACTATGCGCACTATGACACATTTATCTTAATTTTTTTTGTGACACTAAAAATCCCAAACTTGTACCCATTTGACACTTATACCTTCCGTTATAATTCCGTCCAAAATTGCCTAAAAAATCCTACATGAATCTGATGTTGCATTGTTAATATTTTCCGAAGGCAAGTGGCCACGTTAGAAAAAGATTGGAATACTGACACAAATGGTCCCTGAATTTTGGCCAAATATTCAATATGGTTCCTGAACTTTTAATTTGTTCAATGCGGTCCCTGAACTTTAGCCCAATGTGCACTATGGTCCATGAACTTTTAATTTATTCAATGTGATCCTCGGAACTTTGGTACATGTTTAATGTAGTTCCTGAACTATATGAAAATATTCAATGTTGTCCTTCCATAAATTCAAGATTATGGACAATATTGAACATTTTCATGTAGTTCAGGGATTAATACACCAAAAGTCCAGTAACCATATTGAATAAATTAAAAGTTTAGGGACCAAGTTACACATTGGGCTAAAATTCAGCGACCACACTGAATAAATCAAAAGTTTAGATACCATATTAAATATTTGGCCAAAGTTCAAGAATCATTTGTGTCATTTTCCCTTATTTAGTTGTTGATACTTTTATTTCTTGGGTTATTTTGTTTGTTTTTTTTTTCGAAATATTTTTTTATCAACTGACCCAGTTTTGATATAGGGACATTAAGGGGAACACTCAACAGCTAGCCAAGGGAAAAGTATAAAATAAATCATAAACCTATTACATTGATATCAATTCAATCACAAACCATTTAATTGAACTAATTTAGTCTTAAACCTTTTCACATTGGTACAAATTGAATCCATTCGGCTACTTTAGGTATGAAATTGCTGACATAGACGCCGAACGTCCTACGTGGCATAACTGGCGATGACATGGACTTTTTTTTATAATTTTTTAATAATTTTTTTCTTTCTTTTTCTTTCGTGGCCATGAAAGGGGAACATAACACTAAATTCCTTTTGGTTGTCATGTCTGGATCTAATAATAATTGGTTGTCAAATAAATGAATTCCCTAGATGTAACATTAGTAGTCTTTACTTTAAGAAAATTACCCAATTAGTTCTAGACCTATTGTACGGATGCAAATTCAGTTCTAAAGTTTTCAATTTTGTTAATTTATTCATAAATCTTTGCACGAAATTATAATGTAATCGTTACGGTCAATTTTTATTGAAAATCGTTGACGTGGCAGTTCAGTCATCGCCGGCCATCCTACGTGGCACACCGCCAAGTGAGCGATTTTTGGCGAAAATTGACAGAAATGACTATATTGGAACTTCAAGTAAAAGTTTTGGACTAAATTGGTAAAATTGAAAAGTTTAGGACTGAATTACATTCATGCTATGGGTTTATGATTGATTCGACAATTTCCCCTTCCTATGCTATTTGAGCCTTTAATTATGGCCCGACTGCTTTCCTAGACCTTTTTTGAAAAGTCAATTCATTCATTATAACGAATCAAATGCTAAAGTAGCGTTCATTAGATTAACAAGGGATTAATTTAGTACAACAAGAGCTCATTACACCACAAAAAGTTTTATCAGATGAGTGAGAACGGTGGTCTCCGTTGCGTTGGGGCAAATAACCATTACAAGGTGGCGGTAGATCAAGAAGAGAGAGAGAGGCCCCAGGCAAAGCTATGAGGTAACTAGTTAAATATTGTCTCCCTCATTGTGGACAAACCCAATTTCATTCTTTTATCTAACTTAAGAAGAATTTGCAAATTGATAAAATCAAGTGGACGAATTGTCCACCTCCAATGAAAAGTTCCCGATTGTCCCTTTGGGACTTCGAGTCCCACGCATGGTTCTTGCTTCAATTTTTGAAAAGTTGTTTTTTTCTTCTTATGAATCTATGTAAAAAATCATACCATTTCGGATCCATTTTTCTATCAAAGATCCGGCTTCTAAATTCTCATCTCTGGAACCCCTTTGAGAGCTTTTTCAATATTTTTTTATGGATTCCGTCAGTGTGTAGCTATAAGTAAGAACTAATTTAAGCGAAAATGCTTGTCAAAAGTTCCTGTGGGCAGGTCATTAGATTTCTTCTGTTGAAATCGTCCAACAGTCCTTGTCACATAGCTGCCTCAAGTACGACCTAACAAGAATTGGTCTTCGCTGCGATCTAATCGTACATGAACGTTTCAAATCTGGATTTATGTGTGAATTGTAGGGGGTCATACATCATTGTCAAAACATCTCCTATTTACCTCTAAACAACGGTGCTGGCGATTGATTGAAGTCCAAAAGCTACAGGTCTGTGTTTATATTTTCAAGTTATTGATTTTCTTCGGTAGGTCTTTGCTCTGTTATAAAATATGCCCGAGTCGGTGAAACCTAAGCATGATGACAACTAAAGATAATGGAGACATCAAGCTATTTGATCGGAGCCACATTTTCATCTATAGCATCGTCCATTGCACAATCTCAGGTGTCTCTCTGGTCACTCTATGTAAAATAATGTCTCCATCAATTTCAACTACTCTGTCCCTTCTCTTCTCTTTCCTTCTTGTGCACTCTGCGATTTGCCTTGAATTCAACATCTCTCGCTTCGATCCTGCCGTGAATGATATATTGTACGAGGGAGATGCAAAGCCTACGGTCGGAGCCATCGACATGACGAGTCAACTCTATTTCTGCCATGTGGGCCGAGCCACATACAACGAGAAGGTCCGGTTATGGGACTTTGGTTCGGGGAAGCTCTCCGACTTCACTACCCACTTCCAGTTCACCATCGACACAAACGGTCAGCATCATGGCCAATACGCTGCGGGGCTCGCGTTTTTCATGGCTCCGGTGGGATTTCAGATCCCCGTCAATTCGATAGGCGGATTCCTAGGCCTGTTCAACACCACGAACAGTGACTCGTCTCGGAATCAAATCATACACGTCGAGTTTGACACTTTTGCGAATCCGGAATGGGACCCCAGTTATGAGCATGTCGGAATCAACAAGAACTCAATTGCTTCAGCCGTTACCTCTCCTTGGAACGTCACCTATCATAGTGGAGATACTATCGACACATGGATCGATTATAATGCTTCCACGATGAATTTAAGTGTGTCGTGGAGCTTCCAGACCACGCCAAACCCCCAAGAGAACACAAGCCTCTGGTATCAAGTCGATCTGAGGACAGTTCTTCCAGAATGGGTCGTGATAGGATTTTCGGCTGCCACCGGCTATTACATGGAACGACATACCCTTGGTTCGTGGGATTTCAAATCGAATTTAGCATTGGAGGGACCGAGTAATGGGAATCCAAAAAGGGTTGGTCTGATACTTGGCTTGACAATTCCGCTGAGCGTTATGGTGGCATCTGGTGCAGCTGTAGCATTAGGAATCATATGGAGGAGGAGGAAGCGAAAGAGCACGGAGATGTTACCAGAGACGGCGATGCTCACATCAATCAACGAGGACTTCGAGAGACGCGCCGGACCGAGGAGGTTTTCCTACCAAGACCTTGCTTCCGCAACCAACAACTTCTCAGATGACAGAAAGCTTGGTGAAGGAGGATTCGGGGCCGTGTACAAGGGATATTTACTCAACCTAGACATGACGATTGCGGTAAAGAGAATATCGAGAGGCTCCAAGCAAGGGAAAAAAGAGTTTGTCACTGAGGTGAAGGTCATTAGTAGTTTACGGCACCGGAACCTCGTGCGGCTCATAGGTTGGTGCCACGATGGGCACGAGTTCTTGCTCGTTTATGAGTATATGCCGAACGGGAGCCTCGACTCGCATCTCTTTGGAAAGAAGGGTCCTCTCAATTGGTCAATTAGGTACAAAATCTCGATCGGCATAGCCTCAGCGATCTTCTATTTGCATGAAGAGTGGGAGCAGTGCGTGGTACACAGGGATATCAAATCTAGCAATGTCATGCTAGACTCTAATTTCAATGTGAAATTGGGCGACTTTGGTTTGGCTAGGCTGATGGACCACGAACTCGGGCCACAGATTACTGGTTTGGCAGGTACTCTTGGGTACCTTGCACCCGAGTGCCTAAGGACTGGCCGAGCAAGCAAAGAATCGGATGTCTATAGCTTTGGAGTCGTCGTCCTAGAAATCGCCACGGGAAGGAAAGCTAGGGATCCAAAAAATCAGAAGTCGGAGATGAGTTTGGTAGAGTGGGTTTGGGATCTTTTTAGGGAGGGGAAGCTTCTAGAGGCTGTCGATGAACGGATGGGCTCAGATTTCGAAGAGAAGCAAGTCGAGCACTTGATGATGGTGGGGTTGTGGTGTGCTCATCCAGATTGGAATCTGAGGCCGTCGATGAGGCAAGCGATTCAAGTTCTGAAATTCGAGGCTGATGTCCCAAATCTCCCGATGAAAATGCCCGAACCCATCTATCGTGTTCCTACGCCATTGGTTAGTTCCGGCGAACCGTTATTAACCTCTATCGTCGAAGAGGGTCGTTGACTGGGCTTTTTCATATCTTCACCACCCTACCATGTGTATATCGGATTTTATTAGCCATCGTTCTTAATACACACTACATAAGTTACCATGTTGCGGTAGTGGCTATAGTACAAGCAAAGAATTCCTGTGGCATGTACCTCTCCCCTGACTGAAATATCTGAGGAATGTAGGAATATGTCTAATTTCTGTTGAGGACTAAAGTAATTTCAGTTTTTCTTTCTTGTCCCCAAATTTCCAAAAATCTTCCTATATTCATCTACATCTAATAAAGTGTGCAAGTAGCCTTTTTTTCTATATTTATCTGGTGGGGCTTTAATTTTTTTTTCATTTCCATTTTTCTTTATTCACTGCTGTCTTTACAGCGTGTTTATCGGATATAATCTTTGGTTTGTTATCTAAAGTCTAGTTATCTAATAATTGTATACTGATTCTTCATAAGCACACCATATAAAAAGTCATTTCTTACTTGTGAGCAACCCATTTACTACGTTAAGGTAGGAACATTTGAGTTTTCAACATTGAATTGAGTTATCAAACACCATGTTGCGTTTTGTGGCTAGATTCTAAGTCAAAGAATACCTGTGGTATCTACCTGTTTGTATATATAACCATAGTAATTGAAGTATTAATCAACATCTAAAAGAGTGTGAAAGTGGCCTTTGATTTTCTTTTTTTATCTGTTAATGCTTGAAATTTCTTTTCAATTCCATTTTACTTTATTCAGTGCTGTCTTTACTGTCTAATGTTATACTAATTCTTCATAAGCACGCTAGATAAATTGTGATTCAGGTTTCAGCCGTTTTAAGTTGTGTGGTGAAATCACAAGTTATTACAAACTTGTGAGCAACCCAGTACTATTACTCCAATAATTCTGATTCGCTTTGTCAATCAAACGAGCTCTCAAAGATCATGAGGTCCAAGCTAATGAGCTATTAAGATCAATTACGTAGCCAGACATCCGTCAAAATATTATGAAGTTATGCTAGTAATGATCCTGTTAATAATTTTTGAAAAAAAGTATTTGTCGTTTCCCCTCCAAAATTTCACAAATTAAAAATATTTTAAACTCGGTGCAAATCGTGAGCAATAATACAAATGACTCTATTCTCAATAATTTGTATGTTTTAAAAAGGTTTTAGACATTCGATACGTAATAAAAAGTCAAATTTCAAACATCACATCGAAAAAGGAAAACAAAAGTGAAAATTAAAAGATAACATTCGCACCAAATGTCAAGGCCATCCGCACAAGTCAAAAATCTTAACTTGACTGGCTCATGAAACCTGCATGATGTTTCCTCGACGATGTGTGATGAGATCGAGAGATTTGGAAATGCATTTTCTGGGCTAAGTGTATGGAAGAGTCTTATTGGAAACTATTGATGGAAAGGTTTTAAATATATGTGTATGAGGATAAAATGAAGTTTGGATAGATGAAGTCGCCACAAAGGCATAAGGAACACGCCAACAGACAATGATAAAAAATCTCAGATAAAGTTCAACACCTAATCATAAACGATACCTTCCATCAGGTATTTAAAGGTATTTAAAACATGTGTATGAGAAAAAAAAATGAAATTTGGATACTTAAAGTCACCACAAAGGCATAAAGGAACACGTCAACGGACAACGATAAAGAATCCTAGATGAAATTCACCACCTAGTCAGAAAGAACCAAGTCACCTTCCAATAATAAAGGACTTCGAGATAAATAAAGTTGAAGTTACTAGCTGTGGCATCAATTCATATCTTTCAAAAAGAACTAAACATCTGGAATTCAGAACAAGTAAATATGAGTAACGTTGAGATAGGAACATTTGAGTTTTCAACATTGAATTGAGTTATCAAACAAGAATTTACTTAGATTCAATTGACTTAAAAATAAGTAAAAACGATTAACACGAGCTTCATTGTTCCAATGCTTGAAAAATTAAAAACACTCGCAACATAACACTTATTCCATCCTTCCAATAGTAAATTAACCACGCTCAACGACCTTCTTGGAGACTATTGGTGATGAGAGGCTCGCCGGAGCTGACAGACGGCGGCAACTGCGCGTGGTACACAGCGATCGGCATCTTATTAGGAAGAACCGGCACTGTGGCCTCAAAATTGAGGACCTGAAGCGCTTGCCTTATGGAGGGCCTCAAGCCCCGATCGGGATGAGAACACCACAAGCCCACGACCAACAAGCACTCCACTGGTCTTCCATCAAGATCCACTTGGAGTCTCTCATCTACAGCCTCAACAACCCGGCCTCCATTGTGATGTAGCTAGCAAGGATCACCTAGAGGGGGGTGAATAGGTGATCTAAAACAATTTTTAGTAATTTATGCTGAAACAAAATAAATCACAGAAGAGTCTGAATAAAATTCAGATTCAAGACAGATTATATAGACTGTGCTCTTGATGTGCAGAATGTAAAGTAAGAGATAAGGGATAGAGAATCTGCACACAAGTTTATAGTGGTTCGGCTTATAGCAAGCCTACGTCCACTCTCCCACGCTTACAGCCTACTGGCTGGATTTCACTATGTAATCAAGAGGAATTACAACTTCTGAGTGTTAACACTCTTGTGTATGATAGGACTCTCTATCTCACACAATCACTCTTACAAAGTGTTCCTCAAGATCTTAATATTTGGCTCAGAATGACAAGAGAAAAATGATTGGATTAAGCTCAGACTTTGGACTTGTTGATTCTTGATTCTGTACTACCTTCTGCTGCTCGTTGATCTCCTTAAATACTCCTCTGCTTCCAAACTAGCCGTTGGACAGCTTTCAGAGGATCATCTTCCAATCTTTACCTTGGACAGATTTGTATAGTAAGGATTGAGTAGCCGTTGGTTGATAGATTCTGAATCCCGCTGATTCTGGTTGCCCATACAATCAGAATCTTGGTTTCCATAAGTAGAACTTTGTCCGTTGTAATGCATTCTTGTCATGATGTTTGATTGTCAATCAATTTGATTCAGATTGAGACAATCAGAACATTCCTTCTGTGAAATCCATGCTAGATCACTAGCTATTGTGTTACGTTCTGAATTCTGCGTCTGAAGATATTCTGCGTCTGCATCAGAAGAACTCCTGCGTCTGCGTCTGAAGAATTTCTGCGTCTGAATAATTTCTTCTGCGTCTGACGAATTTCTTCGTCCGAATAATTTCTTCGTCTGCATCTGCATCTGAATAACTTCTGCATCTGCATCTGAATAACTTCTGCTTCTGAATCTCAGAACTTAGATTATGTGGGTCTTCAAAAATATACTTGACAGATTGTAAAGTCTGAATAACTTTCTTCTGAGCTTCCAGAATATACAGACCTGGAATAGTTCAGAATAAGTATCAGATTTACAATAACATAGAAGGTTTTGTCAACTTCAAAATTAATAGGAGTTTTCCTCAACAATCTCCCCCTTTTTGATGGTGACAAAACTTTCTTTGCAGATTGAATCATTTTGAAAATAAATAAACATATTAAGCTCAATAAACACAGATTGAAATAGCAAACTCTGTTGATATCTGTGTCTTTCTTCCTTTGAGAATAACCTGTAAATCTGCAATATGATTTCTCCCCCTTTTTGTCATCAACAAAAAGAATAGTAATAGATAGAATAATGCATTGATATTAAGTAATCAATCAGTCTAACAATAAGTATGAGAAATATTACAGACCAATTGAAAAAAATAGAGAGAAATGTTGAAAAACAGGCTATTTTTTAGGAGTACGAATCAGTTGAAAATTTTCCAATATTGAGACAGCCTCCTCAATCTTCGAACTGCATTGACCTATGGCTTTATCCATGCTGGATGAGCACATAGCAATGGCTCCCTCTAATTCCGCTTTATCTGCTGCTGCTTGAAGTTGTTGAGCCTTGGTGTTTTCCTCAACAATTTTCTGTAGGTTCTGCAAATTTTGTTCTAGAGCAGCCTGCTTGTCCTTTATCTCGAGCAGAATCGAAAGGATGTTCTGATTTTCAGATGGCTGACCTTGGTCATTAGCTTCTTCAGGCGATTGTACCTCGCGGCCGATTCTGTGGAATCTCCCCCGAGAACGGTGATTGTTCTTCGAAACATGCTCTTCATGAATTGGTTACTCAAACATTTGGAACTGGTTCAGGAACATGTTCTGGTTCTGCAGTGTGACCTGATTCAAAGTGTGCTGCTTCTGCTTCATCATTTTCATCATGCAGAAGAGTTTTTCTTTTCTTTCTGTACACTTTGATTGGGGTTGGAGAATCAGTTTGCTTGCTTGCTGAACTAGTTCTTTTCCTTTGCTCCTTTTCTTTCTGAATTTTCTTGCCAACAGATTTGGCCTCTGACTGTTGAGCCTCTTTCCTTTTTACTATGTCCCTGATATCTTCAAATTTCTTCATTTTGGAGAGCATTTTTTCTCCAACAAACATAAGGGGAAGCATAGTTTCTCGCAACTCACCAGGAATAGATAAATTGAGATACATGAAGATATGAGTGATCAAAGCTCCATATGGCAGATGACCCTTATCTTTCTGCAATGCTCTGTACATATGGAATATTATGAGGTGAGATTGACCTGTCAAGATAGCCCAAATGAGCTTGATCTCTGATTTCGAAAGGTCAGTTTTTGAGGCATCCTTTGGCTTTAAACAGTTGATGATGATCTTATGCAAGATCACCGATCGTCTTGATAAGTCAGAATAGGAGAGATGTCTTTTTGATCCTTGAGCAAAGTTCGGATTTTCAGAAGCTAGCTGAGAAGCCTCTTCAAGACTTACTGCCAATGGAGTAAAAGTGGAGTGTGTGGCTCCAATTATCCTTGCCAACTCATGCGCCTTTAAATCAACTTTCTTGTCACCAATAGTAAACTGTAACCAGTTTGGTGACAGAATTGAAAGATTCAAATAAAAGTAGGCAGTTAATTCAGCATAAGTGTTGGCAGATTGAAGGCAAAATTCATAAACCCCTAGTTTTTCAAACAGGTTCTGTACAGAAATTCCAGCCTTCTCCAAATACTCGAAATCCACAGTTCTATTGTTCATTACTCCTCTATCAAGTAACAGCCTGTAATACATCTGATGCGCAGTGCTTCTGAATAAGCCTCCTGTTCCAGGCAAGCCAGATGCTATTCCAACTTTCATCTCAAAATTCTCAAAAAATCGTGCATCATCATCCGGAACAACAAATTTTGACGCACTAGATGTCTTAGGGCTTACATGAACCGATTTCTTTTCAGATGGAGTTGAAGCTTCTCCAACTTTTTCTTTGCCCTTTCTGGAAGAAGTTTCTTGTGGAGTAGTGCTGGTTGGAACTTGCCCTG